GGGGGGGAAAAAAAGGAGAAAAATGGAGGAAAAAGTGAAATTCCAGCTGTTGATCCTGCCTGGGTTTTCCAAATGGATTTTCCCAATTTTCCTGATTCTGAATTTCTGATTTTGATTGGGAAGCCAAGGGGATTTCTGGGATTGGGAATCCAGGATTTTGGGGATTGGGAATCCAAGAAAATTCCCAGGAAGGATCAGAGATCACCAAGATGGACACGAGACCCCCGGGATGAACCCGGGACCCCCAAAATCAACCCGAGACCCCCAAAATCAACCCGAGACCTCCAAAATCAACCAGGGACCCCCAAAATTCAATAACCAGAGACCCCCAGGAGGGACCTGAGACCCCCAAAATCAACCCGAGACCCCCGGGAAGGACTCAAGACCCCCCCAAAATCAACCGGAGACCCCCTGGAGTGACCAGAGACCCCCAGGACAGAGCAGAGACCCCCCCCAAGATTAACCAGAGACCCTCAGCAGTGCCTGGAGACCCCCGGGAAGGCTCTGAGACCCCCAAGATTAACCCGAGACCCCCGGGAGGGACCAGAGACTCCCCCCAGGATTAACCAGAGACCCTCAAGATGGACCCGAGACCCCCAGGAATAACCAGAGACCCCCCAAGATTAACTGGAGACCCCTGGGAAGAACCCGAGACCCCCAAGATTTAACCAGAGACCCCCGGGATGAACCGGAGACCCCCGGGAAGAACCGGAGACCCTCGGGATGAACGGGACCCCCCCCAGCGGTTCCATCTCCCGTGCCCGTTCCCCGCCGGCCCATCCCGGCTCCCCCGCGGGCCCCGCCAGCCCCGGGAGAGGCTTCAAAGGCCCCAAATGGCCGCCGGGAGGGGCCGGCAGGCGCCGAGGCGGCGGCGGCGGCGGGGCCGGGGCTCTCCCTTTGCCTTCCCCTCCCTCCCTTCTCTCTCTGGTCTCCGTTAGAGCCGCACCGAGCCTGTCCCGGCCTGCCCGGCCCGGCCCCGCCGCCCCAGCCCCGGGCGGTGCCGCTCCCCCCGCTCCCCGAGACACCCCCGGAGCCGCCGCCAGCCGGGGCCTCCCACGCTCCCCGCACCGGGAACACCGAGCTGGGAGAACCGGGGGGGGGGGGGGGGTCTCGGGGGTTTTTTTGGGGGGGTTTCTCGGTTGTTCCTCCCTTCCCCCGGTCTCTGTTTGCTCCCCGCTCCCCCCACCCACTCGGTAACGTTTCGGTGTTTACTCCACCCCCGGTAACCGGAGGGTGTGTGGGGGGGGTTCTGATAATCCCCGCCCCCTCCCGGATCTCCGTTCGGTGTCTCGTTGTTTATCCAACCCCCCCCCCCAACCTTCCCCCTCTCCGGTAACCGGGACCCCCCCTCACTTAACGGGGGGCTCCGCTTCAGCTCTCCCCGCGAACCGCCCCCGTTCCGCCTCTCCCGGCAGCCGGGGAGGGGGGGAATTCTCCTTAATTCGAACCCCTCCGGTAACTCCCGGTGATCCCAAACTCCCCCTCCCCAAAAATCCCGCATCGCCCCCCGTGATTCCCCCCCCGGGACGCACCTGCGGGGGCGGCGCGGGCCGGGAGGAGCGAGGCGGGTTCCGGGAGAAGGAGGAGGAGGAGGAGGAGGAGGAGGAACGGGAAGGGAGGAGGGAAACGGGGAAGGAGGCGGGCGGGGAAGGGAAGGGAGGGGAGGGCGCTTCGGTTCTGGTTGCGGTGCCGCTTTTCCCGCTGTTGCTGTTGGTGCTGGTGGTGCCGCCGCTTCTTCTCGTTCTCCTTCTTCTCCTCCTTCTTCTTCTTCTTCTCCTCCTCCTCCTCCCGGTGCCTCCCCCGCGCCGCCGCCGCCGCCGCCGCCGGAACCGGAACCGCCGCCGCCGCCCACGCGCTTCCGGGCAGCGCGCGCGCCCACGCACTTCCGCTTCCGGTCCCGGGAATGAGAAAAGGGGAGGGGGGGAGAGGCGGGAGCGCGCGCGCGGGAAACGCCCCCTCCCCTCATAAACAAACGGCGCCTGAAAAGCGGCGAGAAAGGCTCGGAATGGAGCGAAAATAGAGCAAAAACAGCCCCAAAACACCCCCAAAAACAGCCCAAATCCAGGCCAAAAACCAGAACCAAACAGGGCCTGGAAACCAGAGTGAAAATGGCTCGGAATGGAGCGAAAATAGAGTTAAACCGACCCAGAGCCAGAGCTGAAACAGCTCAAAAAACAGAACTAAATAGGGCCTAAAAACAGAACCAAATCAAGGCCCAACCCAGACCCAAAAC